ATCAGTAAAATAATGGAAACTGTGTAGATCAAAACACAGCTAAGTATAATAAAGGGAAACACGGAGAATTCAGGATAGTGATAAGGGGACCAATTTAGGATTCCCCAAAACAAAAATTTACAGGGATGAGAAATCTGGTTGTGGGGCAGGATAAAGAGAAGGAATTGTCAATGTCCCTATTTCCATGTCTCTAAATTAAACAGTGTTGCAAAGTGTCTGGGCTCAGAGGCAGGGCCTCTCCCGGGAGACCAGCTATGCAGCTGATTCATTTTCAGGGCTGGCCAGTGCACTCCTGCAGGGTGCATCCTGAGGACCGTAACTTTCCAGAGAAAGGGCTTTATTTTTTCTTTTTAAAATAATTAGTACAAAATTGCCATATGGAATTGTGGCAGCTGTATCTCGCAGATCCAATTGTTCATCTCCAGCCTTTCAATGTTTGTTTGGAATGTCTTTTATACCCATCTGTAATTCCTTATCCATTTTCACGAGTCCTTCACTTCAAGCCTCTGTTTGGAGAACATTTTAAATATTTCCCTGACTATAGGTCCTCCTGTCTATCAAAAAAGTGAGACTTTTAAGAGCCAAGGGTAGGGGGGTTGCCTTAGGAAAGCTAGCCAGCTGTCTTTCGAAAGCATCCCCTGGGTGATTTTGTAGGCTCAGACATCTGGTTCCATCGGTGTAGCCCAAATAGATTTATCTCATCAGAGGGCCCATAGGAGTTTAATTTAACATCAGAATGCCAGTTCTGTAATTCGAAATAATTGATGAAGCTGGTCCATGTACCGGAAACCCTGTATCAACATCAATAAACCACCCTCAGAGGGCTACTCTGATATCCAACGCTTCTGTTACTTAAGGTGAAACTCTTCTTGCCTGAGACAGTTCTGTGGACCCTTGGTGTCCCCAGGGAATACAATCTGAATGACAATGATCCAGTCTAAGTGTCTTATGTCACAGATCACACATCTGTGTAACGTGCAAAGAAGTACAAGCAAGTGGACACTCATTGTCCCCGATTTCACAGAGCTATGGGTTATGGCTCCATTTGACATCATTATACACCAGAAGCATATTACCTGGTATGAAAATAGACAAATCTGTAATGAAAAGCAGTGTTTTGTAATGAAGGTACACTTTTAAAGTTTTATTTTGGTCTGACTCACTATTCAGAAAACAGTAGTTGCTTAACAAATGCCTATTCACTAACATATTTATTCTAGTTTGACCCAAAGATCTGGCTTTTCTTCCCTGCCAATTCCTTTGCATGTGTCAATATCAGTCAATATACTTGATGCCTGCCAAAGCAGAATTGCCTAAAATCATTGAAAATAAGTTCATCCACAATTCCGGTATTCAGTTAGAAGGCCTGGATTTGGGTTGCAATTACACAACTCCCTGTGTGCAGCAAATCACTAAAAGATTTGACGACTCGGTTTTTAATTCATAAAGAAGAGTAAAAGGAGCTATTTCCCAAGACCTGGAATTACCAGGATTGTAAAGTTGAAAGGTACCTAAGTGTATGGTTTTGTAAATTTTTTTTTTTTTGAGACGGAGTCTCGCTCTGTCGCCCAGGCTGGAGTGCAGTGGCCGGATCTCAGCTCACTGCAAGCTCCACCTCCCCTGTTTACGCCATTCTCCTGCCTCAGCCTCCCCAGTAGCTGGGACTACAGGCGCCCGCCACCCCGCCCGGCTAGTTTTTTTTTTGTATTTTTTTAGTAAAGATGGGGTTTCACCGGGTTAGCCAGGATGGTCTCGATCTCCTGACTGGTTTTGTAAATTTTAAGGGATAAACAAATATTGTGTGTACCCATTTCTAAAAATGTTAGGGTTTTTTATTAAGCTATATATTTTACTCTCTGTTGACATTTTCTAATCTACTCATGTATATGCATTAATTATGGATCTGAAACCTTTAAATACTAATGTGTCCTTAAGTCATGCAATTAACTAGGAAGAGGCAATTACAAAAGTCTTTTGAAAATAGTTGAAAGTGTCTTTACACAGTCTTAAGTGTTAATAACTCGCATAAAATATTTTATATAACCAGTCATCATTTCTGACACATCTTTTTGGGATAAATATTTGATTCAGGTATTTGATCACCTTGGGGAGCTGGGGATTTCTTAGGCTTAATTACTTATATTTAAACCTAACAATTTAATGTGAGGTGAATACTATTTTGATTATATAGCTATCAGCACCACCAATTTTCTATTACAAATATATTTTCCCATCAGACAGTATGTTCCAACTCGAAGATAATCTTGCAAAGGAGACCTGAGGAGTGTCTGGGTTTTGTAGGTGGAACCAAAAAGGTGAAACAGGGAGAACAAGAAAATTACCCCTGTCAAATTGATTATAATAAGAGCCAAGTTCCAGTCCTCTCCAATATTTCTTTCTCCTATTTGTAGAACATTTGTGCTACTATGTAATCAAAAATGTCCATAGAATTGAAAGGTGCCCTTAAACGGATAGATCGATTCCAGATTTTACAAAGCTATTCAGTGAAGTGGGAGTGATAGCAAAACATCCTAAAGTGATGCTGGATGCCTGTGAACAATAGAGTCACAGCATCCACATGGGGTCCAGGCAGGGCTGAGCCTTGCCCACTGACACAGGCCTTGGGTGAGGGAAGGTGGACATAATCATGGAACAAGCCGACCACCTCTAGTTTCCATCCAGTCACACGGCTCTGGAGCACATGGACCTTCCTAACTGCCACCGGGACAACAAAAGAGGCTTCAGAGTTATGGAAGCAGTTCAGTCTCCCTACATGGATTCCAAGCCCCTGAGACTCCAGTATGCGTACATCTTTTCCTGGATACTTTGTGCATCACCGTGAGAAAATCAGACCAAGTGTTTATAAACGAGACATCATTCCTACTGGACATAGTTGGAGGAACATGGGAAATAGTTACTAGGGTTGGAAACGTAACGAGAAATAAAATACAAGGTGAGCACAATGTGTTTTCTGTGAAGCAGCCACGGGAAGGGAAATGGTGAGCTTAGTAAGATCCCAACTTGCAGCAGTGTTGAGGGTGAGGTCACAGGAGAGAGGGAGGAACCCAGGCCAACGTTTTCTTCTCTTTGCCCAGGGAGCCACAGCAGGGGCAGGATTTGTAAAAGGCAACGAAAACGTGTTCAGTGGCAAGAGAGCTGGAAGAACAACGTAGGTGTGCACGGAACTTCCCCGTAATTAGACAAAATTTAATTTACCCACAGGCTTTTCAAACAGTTTTTCTTCTCAAGTATCTGTGTTCCTCTAAGACTAGTGTAGGGGCAAGGAAGTGGGGATGAAGACATCCAAGTAAGAAAACAAAATACATTGAACATCTCAACAGGGACGAGAAGTGGAAAAAGCAATCACAATAGCATTCATTCCATCTGCAAGCGAAATGGCTTTACAAGAGCTCTTTGAGACATTTCTGAGAGCGAAATCCTGGAAAGTAAAATTCCAGTAAAAATTATAATTACAGGTTGACCTTGTAACATCAATTATCAGTTTATCATGCATAAATGTCAATTCACAGGCTTTCTATTGACTCAGTCTTTTCAACAGTATTAGCACAAAAGTCAAAAACTGGTTTTCTCATGATTTTAGCCACACGTATTCTATTTTTTTGCCCAAAGTCTTACAATTCTTCACCTGTGATTTTTCCTCCTCAGAGGAATTTGAGGTGATTAATCTTCTCTTAGGCACCTGGATTAGCTTTGGGTCTATGGGATGATTATTATCTTTTCTAGGCCCTTTTTTGCCCATCTGTCAAATCAAGGTGTCTGTCACTAACATATTTTTACGCTCAAATCCCCAAACTTTTAAATTTCTAAAGTCATGGTGTTCAGTATCATATGGTTTTTAAATTTATCTGATGAGTGAAGGATTTGACAATTCCATATACTTTAAACATGTTAATTAATTAGTTAATTTTAATTACTTATCCACACCAAACAGCTTTTTCTTTTCCTTCAGAACTAAAAATGCTATAAATGGCAGTTATCATATTGCAAATTCCTGCTTTTGGAACACAGCATCTCTTTTATTTCCCTGTTCTTTTGGCTTCTTTGTTTACGTCTTTAAAAACATATTCCACATTGATTTGTTCATACAAACGAGGGCGAGCACCGAAAACTGGCAGTTGCAGGTTCAATCCTGGCTCCACCAACTCTTAAAACTGTTATCTAACTATCGCAACAACAGAAAACCAAACACTGCACGTTCTCAGTCATAGGTGGGAACTGAACAATGAGATCACTTGGACGTGGGAAGGGGAACATCACACACTGGGTCCTATTGTGGGAAGGGGGTAGGGGGGAGGGATAGCATTAGGAGATATACCTAATGTAAATGACGAGTTAATGGGTGCAGCACACCAACATGGCACATGTATACATAAGTAACAAACCTGCACGTTGTGCACATGTACCCTAGAACTTAAAGTATAATAAAGGAAAAAAAAATCCTGGTTATCTTCGGCAAGTATTGAAAATATTCTTAGTTCCCTCATCTCAAAAATTAGTGGTGAAAAGAAAATAATTTACTACATACAGTTGTTATGTGTGTGTGCTTATACATATATATATGATTAAATGTATAAAAATATATATATGCGTGTGTCATTCAAAGTCTATTACCTCCAGTTACCTCAAACATTTCTTCTAAATCTTCATATATAAGCACATGAATTTTTATCATTGTGTACTATATACACTATACCACAATCAATATATTTAAGCCCATCAGATCTAAAATGTTTTATGTTTCCTTTTCAGGTCCAACTATTTTGTTATTAAAATTAATATTTCCAAGTAGATAAATTTCAAGCAACTACTAGTAATGTGTCTAAGTATACAAACCAGTCAACAGAGTACAGAATTAAACTGCAATCCAAAAGACAGTAGGCAGCCCGAACAAAATCAATATTTAAAACTTAACATAAGTCAGGTATCAGATGTGTCCTGACAAAATGAAAAAGAATGTGATTAAGTCGTATGTTACTTACTGGTATAGGTGAGTTGAAAACCTTGGTCGGTGTCAGATCCATTGGTGTTGAACTCCAGCCACAGGTGATTGGACGTGCTGTTTAGGATCAGCCTCAGTAGTTCATTTTTAGTGAAGGTGCCCAGTGGACGTGAGGAACTGTCTTTTCCATCGTAGACCTGACGAAAATCACAGCATGAGTCTCTCTATGCCTTCATTGGATTCTTATGTTAGCAATGTTAATAAGACATCCAAATCTTCAAAGACGCTGTTTTATACGATACTTACAAAAGGCATATAGTGTATAGAAAGATAAATGAAGGACTTAGTGCTAAATCATATTCGTTCTTTAAGTTTTATCTTTACCATTAACATTAGAGGCAAAAGATCCCATTCTTGTTCAGATCATTTCATATTCATTACTTTAAGAGCTCTTTCTGTGTTTACTTAAAATTAAATAAATATTTCTTTACGTTTCCAGGTTTCACTACCTATCTGTTTATTCCTTTTCTCATAGTTCAGTTATAAAAGTGGGAAAGATTTATAATATTTTAGTCTTGAATATCTCCTCCGAACTCTCAACTAAGTCAAAGACCATACCCTTCCCTTCTGTTCCCTTCTGTCTGGATGCATTAAAGGACAACACGGTGTGCCGGAATCTTGTCACATTCTGTGCTCTGCAAGCCTGAGGTGGCTTTCATCTTGAATTTGTAATAACAGAAGTATCTCATCATGTAATAGTAACACAGAAGTGTGATGTTGCTTAAAGTGCTCTGTATGTGACATTATCTTCCCAAGGGGTTGTAAAACAAGAGTAGATACAATAAGTATGTGGAATATAAAGAAGACATGGCTTAGTTTTGACCAATCGGGAGAGGGAAAGTTCAGTCATGGTTCCCAACTTTTGGGGAGACAGGTCACACGGTGGGGAGCAGTGGGTTGGTGTCACCGCTATATTCTGAAAGAGGATCGGGTAAAAGTGTTTCAGCCATGCACTTTCTGCCAATGCCCTGAGGCTCAGGTAACAGAAACAGCACTGACTTTCTGGTAGGACAAATACCTAAGGCATGTGGGGCTTAAAACCTAGATGACAGGTTGATAGGTGCAGTCAATCACCGTGGCACTTGTATACCTATATAACAAACCTGCAATTTCTGCACAGGTTAATTCCCAGAGCTTAAAATAAAATAAAAAAGTCAATGCAGCAGTCCTCGCATCCCAATAACAATACAGCACTAGGTGGGCACAGCTAATCCGCCTGCCTCCCTCACTAGCAGGGGACCATAAAAATAAACATTTATTACATTATATTGGAAAATGCTCAGTTTGTCTTAATAGAAAAATGGAACCCTAACTAAATAAAATTAAACAGAGTCCTAGTAGGCTCTTTCAATGTGTTTATTTTCCCCACTTATTTCCTCTTTATATGGATTAATTCTTCTTTCATTGTCTTTCAATTAATATATAAACCCAGGGATGTACACAGACACACATACTCAGAAAAGGAGAAAATACATTTAGAAAAGATAATTTTGTGGGTAGTTATTTCATTACAACTAAATATAGACATGCTAGTGGGGTAGAATCAGATACCCTTTAATCTCCTTACTAAAAGACTATTGTCCCAGGTCATTGTTTAAAAACCACTATTTGGTTTATTCCATGTTTTTATCAGATGAGCAGGGTCTGACATCCAGAGACTAAAAGGTTTTAAGTCCAGAGGAGTCTGGGTCAAAGAGAAAATGTGCAGGTCTCCCCAGGAAGGCCTTGGGCTACCCCGTATACCGTGGAATTGTCTGTAATTCACAGAAATCCATGAAGACGGGGAAACACGAAAGAACTCGACACTCCGTGAAGCCGCTGCTCGGTCCTGACACACTGTGAGCTCATCCGCTCTCCTGAATCTTGGCTTCCTCATGAGGACTTGACCAAGTGCACTGTGGATCCCTGACAGATTGTACCTCGCTCCCAGTGGTTTCATGGTTAGAACCACTAAACATAAACAGCTCAAAGGCTTAATCGTAAGATTCTTCAGAACAGGAGCTCTTCCTTCTTTATCCACGTCATCAGTAATTAGCAATGGGTCCAACCACCGACACCCCAGAGAACGAGTATGTCACTGATTAACATGGAGCTTTCCCCTGTCAGTTCTCTAAAGTTAAAATCTGGGTTCAGGTTTTGCACTGATCACAAATAAAAACCCAGATAGGAGTGGAAGTCAGAAGATTTGATTTCTGATCCCAAAGGAATGAGGAACAGGCTACACCTGTTTTGTACAACATTTCCTAGTTATATTTTTTCACCTATAAGTAGCTAGATTCAAAGGGTTCTTTTCAGTTATTAGAGAAAGCCTTCTGGATTCACCTGTTTAATACAAGGCTGTAAGTATCTGCACTACAGACCACCCTCCTCAGAGTCTGGCATTTAATCAATGCCATATACTTTAAGGGATGTTGCTGGGTTAGCAGATGATCACAGATCAGAAAACGTCACACAGAATGTTAGCATGACAATACTGAAAGTTCTGGGGAAATCTTTCCCCGTTTAACAGAAACTATACCCTGCAGATTTATTTCCAAAATTAATTGTGCTTTCCATTCTATATTCCTTTCATGACATGTTTCTGAGAGCTCGATATCTCTTATATGATTTTTCCACATGAAGCAAGAAAACATCATATTTATTTATGTGTGCAGGGGGTGCGTGTATATAAAATTGTAGTCTTTATTATTACATCACAGTATGTGTGAGGGATCAATGTGAACAGCACTAGGCTCAAAAATTAAGATAATTTTACTAGAAATGTTTTTAACAGAGATCTTTATTATCATATTTAACAAAATATATGCCTGCAAAACATGTAGGCATTTTATACAATTGACAGCTTCTCTGTAATTAAATGTGAGAAGCAAGTTTTTTTAAAAAAACTTTCTGTTATAATCAACAACTTTAAATGGCATGCAATCACAGATGAACGTAATTTCCTTCCTTCCATTCCAATAATATTTATCCTTGTATATTTTATGCAGTATCTCTAATCACTCACCTGCACTAAAGTATAGTTAAGAGTTATTTAAAAGTTTGCCTTAAAGGCTTACTGACTTCTAAATTTGAGGTTATTAAAAAATTCAGAAAATGCCTACTTGTGATGTAACTATTTTTTTTTTTTTAGATTAGTAAGAATGTGCTAGTTTCCGGCCTAAAAACCACTTCTTAATTACAGTCCCTCATACTGCCAGCGTGAGCTTTCAAAAGACTATTAAAATGAAAGAACAACTAGAATAAAACCACTCTGCTAAATGATGACATTGAAATACAGTCAAACGCGGCCTTAGGAGGAAGGAAGGCCCTTTCATCTCCTGACCTGTGCACATAACTTCTAATGAGGTCAAGTGGAGCCCAGCGGGGGCTCCATTCCAGCCATTCTGTAAAGGGAGGACAAACAGGGTTTTCCCTTTTAGTTGGCTTTCTGCATATTCTCTTATAATGCTCATAGTTCAAAGTGAGTTGACAGTACTGAATCTAAAATGCATCATTATGTGCATCTAGGTAGATGTAAATTAATTGAAAAACCCCTGGAATTTTAAAAAGGGAATAAAAAGAGCCACGTGTTCCTTTCTTGCCCGAAACCAGGCTTCTGTTCAACGAAATTGCTCACCTCACTGAAATAAGCAGGTGATTGGACGGGTGATTTCTAGCAGGGGTGTCCAATCTTTCGGCTTCCCTGAGCCATGTTGAAAGAACTGTCTTGGGGCACACATAAAATACACTAACACTAACGATAGCTGATGAGCTTTACAAAAATCACAAACACAAACAGTCTCATAGTGTTTTAAATATGTTTACAAATTTGTGTTGGGCCACAGGCAAAGCTGTGTTGGGCCACATGTGGCCTGTGGGCCGCGGGTTGGACGAGATTGTATCACAGCATTAGGTCTTGTTGCTTAAATCTTTTCCCTTTCAGTGCCCTGAGGCTAGGCTGCCCATTCTCCAGACCCTAGATCATAGAAGGTTTCCAGTTTATTGAAATACGTACAGGAGAGGTGAAAATTATATCAGAATCTTAGGAGTTAAGGGGCATTTCTGGTTGGAGCTGGGATTTTATAAATCAAGGCAGGACTTGGGTACCCCTGCAATCAATATTGAGATTCTGTCTTGTCCTGGCTTGGGGTCTCCTCATCAGCCCTGTCTGTGATCTGATCACCGTGGCTGGATTTGCCTCTATTATCACTTCAGAACCTTTCCAGCTTTCCACACTATGGCCACATTTAAAAATCAAGATTAACTACAGAAAGGGTTGGTTTGAGGACCCTGCAAGTTTTAATAGTTACAATTATGTGCCAGACACAATGCTAGGAACATCCACTTATGTTATTAGATTAAATCCTCAAGACAGTCCAAAAATGTAGGTATAGCTGTGTTTTCTTACACATAAGGACGCTGAAGATCAAAAGTGTTAAATAACTTACACGAGGTGCTGGACTAATAAATGTTAGATCTAGGTTTATCTACAAGGTTATTTCAAAGTCCACATATACTGTTCTAAGCGAAGTGATATGACACTTCCTCAAAATTATTTGTAAATAAATATAAATAAATCATACATAAAAAGATACATCAATATGTGCATATATCTATATGTAGAGAAGCAGACAATATACTTTTTGAGAAGAAAAGTTGGAGTCATCCTGTTGGAGAAGATTCTTTTTACCTTGAGAGTATCTCCTTCAAACAGCTGGAAGCTTCGTGCTCGGAGGTGGATACCCTTGCCAGCTTCTGTTTCTATTTTATAGATACACTCATGGTTATTATCATAATTGGATGGAAAATTTGGAGACAGTAATGTTCCTTCATTTCCTTTGACACTTGCTCCACATTCAGCTAAAATAAATAGGACATCAGAGAAAGAGGATTCAAAAGTGGAATTACTGTTTTTAACAGATTAAAACCTTTAAAATCATGATAGCTTCCTCTTCTATCAATGTATGTCTGTTAATAATATATTATTTTAAAATAGATCAGTGATTTTTAAAAACTGTTTTACCAACTGGACACAAAAAGATACCCCGCTTAGCTCATTTTCAAAAGTGTCTTATTTATTTTAACAGAATGACCTCTGACTATGTGGAAGCAGCATGGTCTCACACAGAGAGTTCTAGAATAAAACAGAGGTGCTCCGGCACCATGGCTGAGGAGCTGTGTCACCAGGTTGTCACAGCACCTCTCCCACTAGCCTCGTTCCTGCCTCATGAAATGTCTCCACCAATTCCCATGCACCCATTCTACCGTTGTTTCTCTGCAGTTTTTCTTCACTGGTATCTTATGGCACCAACTGGGACGCATTCAAAGGGGAATCTAACGACAGACCAAACCACTGAGTTATCTTGTCGCAGTCTTCAGGATGTCACAGCCCTGAAGGCCTTAGCATTATGTCTTAGGATGGAAGAGCATTCAACGGCAGTAAATATCTGCTTCTCCCCCTTTCCCAATGAAGGAAGAGGATAGTTGACTTCTCGATCTAAATTTATACCAAACAAAATTCCTCTTATCAAAGTCAAAGTGAAAATACATACAACTGTCTACTTTCTGTCAACCTGCGGAAAGTCACTTAACTTTTCAGCACCTGTTTCACTGTGAAAGTGAACAGTTTAGGTCAAGGATGCTTCCGAATTTGTGTTGGGCCACAGGCAAAGCTGCGTTGGGGCGCATGTGGCCTGTGGGCCGCGGGTTGGACAAGATTGTATTACAGCATTAACTCTTATTGCTCCAAAATTCTAAGTCCAATACAATCACACACACACACACACACACACACACACACACACACAAAATAATAAAGTGGCTACATATGCGGGTGCACACACACACAGAGGTTTGTATGTGCCAAGAGAGCTCCACAGGAGTCTGCACCAACAATTTTGCAGACTATACGATGTGCCCAGCACTCTGATGTAAATATCCCACAGAATGCCTATTCGTTTGAAGAGTAATTGTTAGGTTGGAAACCGAGCATCAGTTAAATGCCAGGTATGTACTGAGAGTGGGAGGGAAGGATGCACAGTGTTCATTTTCCAGTGGGTTGCTCAAGGTATTGCAGAATTTTGCAGATGATTTCTGCATGCCCATTGCCACGATGCTGATTCTCTCACACCCTCACTCCCTCTTTGACCATGAACACAATCAGCTACGTCACTGACCATGGGCATCCTAATCCACTTGCCATCAGGAAGTTGCTAGAGATCCATGACTGCCCCCCAGTGATTTGTGCACACTGAATCTCAGAATGCTTCCATGTGGAAGGGTGTGGGGAGAAAGAGAGGAAAACGCTTGACAACTTGGGTTCACTTCTCCCTCATCCTCCTTAAACAAAGATAGAAAGGCAGACTTTGGATATGGTTCTCAGGGTGCAAGTGTTGAGGGAGAAGTGCAGGCAATTGGTGACTCAAAGATGCCATTGGGAATTTAAAATCATTTTAAGAAATTACAGTAATATAATTATACAATCATAATTATATATTGTATAACTATAATAACTTAAAAACCATCTTAAAAGACATGTATATACACACACACCCATGAGTAGGTGTATATTTATAAATACATATAAATATATTTATATCTATAAAATATCTATATTATATATGATATATATCTACAAAATAGATATAAATATATAAATATGGAGAGAAAAGCAACTGATGTGTTTCTCATGCTCCATACTTGGGCATCCCTACTCCAGCCCACACCTTGCTGTGTTTGAACAGTGATCCTTCTCTGTTAGCAATTTGATGATTCGCAGACAGTGTAAGGTTGAAGAAAAATGGCTTTACAGGCTGGGGGCAGTGGCGCATGCCTGTAATCCCAGCACTTTGTGAGGCTGATGGGGGTGGATCACGAGGTCAAGAGATTGAGACCATCCTGGCCAACACGGTGAAACCATGTCGGTACTAAATATACAAAAATTAGCTGGGCGTGGTGGCGTGCGCTTGTAGTCCCAGCTACTTGGGAGGCTGAGGCAGGATAATTGTTTGAACCTGAGAGGTGGAGGTTGCAGTGAGCTGAGATCCGCCACTGCCCTCATGGAGACATAGCAAGACTCCATCTCCAAAAATAAAAAAGAGAGAGAAAGAAAAATGACTTTATAGTTTAAACTCAACAACAAGCTATTTAGATAGTAAGCTCCTTGGAAAAGTTAATAATTTGTGGATATTGAACATCTTTGTTGGATATTCTTTTTTTTTTCCTTCCTGAAGAAAGTGTCTTTCACATAAAAGCCAAAATAAATGAAAATAAAGTTTAAAGAAGCCAAGCTGTGTGTCCTCCCTCGGCTGCCCCATGGAGAGAAGAGTTGGGGTTTCCAGCTATAAAAGGTGCTGTCCTTAAAGGGAATAAAATAAGAACATAATTCTAACGACCAGAGAATGAAACCTAGTCACAAATATTAGGGAATATTTAAAATTGAATTTAACAAAAATCGACAAAGGCAACCATTCCAAATTTAGGTCTTTTGTTAGGTTTACAAGTTTAAAAACAATTCATGCAATTGAAGATATACTGGCATAGTGGCAAATAAATAAATCATTTTCAGGTGGGGAAGGAATGCCGGGACATGGGCACAGTCTCAGGTGCAAGACAAATAGGATGTTTTTATGGCTTTATCAACATGACCGAAGTGAAGCATCACAGGAAGGAACTATGGGAGATGGGACTGCAAACACAGCCTGAACCAGGTTGTAGGGAATGCCTGCGCTTCCTTGAACCATGGCAGGAGTTCCCTGAGAGAGTTTGGAGCATGGACGTGCCCTGATAAAAGGATGTCTGGAAAAGAGGAATGCCCTAAAACAGTTGAATTTTAAAGACTCTAAACAAAAACACAGAAGGTATAGATGTTGTGAAGATTGACTTGTGACACAAATTCTAGAATTTCAATAGAAGAGGAATATCTTTGAAGGTTCAAAGAAGTAATCGTAGGAAAAATAAGTTGTAGTAATACCATGCCTGATGGGGTATAGGAATTTATCTAATTTTTTTTTTTTTTTTTTTTTGGTCTATATGTCACTTACATAATGCATGCTCTTATTACTATTACATCATTGGCTGGGCGTGGTGGCTCACATCTGTAATTCCAGCACTTTGGGAGGGCAAGGCGGGCAGATTACCTGAGGTCAGGAGTTCAAGACAAGCCTGGCCAACATGGTGAAACCCTATCTCTATTAAAAATACAAAAATTAGCCTTGCATGGTGGTGCATGCCTGTTGTCCCAGCTAATTGGTAGGCTGAGGCAGGAGACTTGCTTGAACCCAGGAGGCGGAAGTTGCAGTGAGCTGAGATCACGCCACCGCACTCTACCCTGGGCAACAAGAAAGAAGCTCTGTCTCAAAACAAAACAAAACAAACAAACAAACAAAACCATGGGAGTATATACCAAAACGAAACCCATGTTACACATGAGAAAACTGAGGCACAATAACACTAATTAACAGGCTCAAGATCACACAGCTGTGAGAGGCAGACTATTCTTTGACCCCCAGGCAATCTGCTATCAGAAGGTGCAATAATTGTGCTATGTTTGTTAATACACAATGTTGGTAATCATTCCTATTGGCAGATATTAAATAATCCGTGAGGGCTACTTGCTTATGACTTTAATAACCTTGTGAGTCCAACAGGATAGGAAAGTGATGCTGCTGAGGGAAGCAACTTTCTGAATGGTATAAGTTACTATTTTACAAAATGTTCTTTGAAGAAACATTGGTATACTTCTGGAGGCTTGTCTTCTGACTTAATTTTGTTTTCAAATTAAATTAGAAGAATTCTCGCCAAAGCTTGTTATCTCCTTTCCTATCTGCTCTCTAACACTACCCCTGCTGACCAAGATACCACCAGATCGCTCACATATCACAAAATGTTTCGTTTTCCTTGTTTCCACAGCCGTGCAGGCGGGCTCCCAGTATACAAAAATGGATACAACGTGATATTCAAATGAAAGAATGGATGTGTCAAAGAAACTGAGAGAGGTGCTCCAGACCCTGGAGCAGTATCGCGGAGGACATAATGTAATAAGACACTGATATTAAGTAAAGAGCAAGTGCTCAGAAAATCGCAACAGTTAAGTGACCAAAATTTCAAAAATTATTTGAGCTTGATTTCAAACATTCATTGAAAATCACCATTAGAACAATTAAATACTTCATTTTAAAGAAGTTTTTTTCAATAGTCTATTTAATATTCATTTAAGATGAATGAATACAATGTTTCTTAATACAAATCACTTGCTGTTTTATAAAAAAGCTACTGAAATGGTAATTATAATTGAATTGTCACTTAGATTTTTGCAATTGAACGAAACTAATTAAAATTAAATTAACACAGGAGAAAGGAGTTAACTGATTTTTCAGTCAATTCTTCTGTACAAAGGCAGCTACCTGTGAAATTTGCTGTCTCAGTCTGCTTGGCCTGCTGTAGCAAAGTACCACAGAGAGAGTGGCCTCAACAACAGACAGACGTGGAGGCTAGGAAGTCCCAAATTCATAACATTAACCAAAGTGTCTGTATAAATTAATACATATTCAATATTAGGGAAAGTTATTTTATTGGGGACATTAAATAACTATTTATTTGATTATTTAAAAAACTAAGTAAAATAACCTCTCAATCTGCCTATTCAATACAGTTAAATTGGATTCAAATTCTACGGCTGAAGCAACTTGTCCACCTAAATAATGTTGAGCCTACACAATACCTCACATTTAACAGAGATGTTTCTTAACATAATGACTGAAAGTAAAGGTGTATGGCTCTGGTTATTAAAATGCGGACATTGTTGTGGGGCTTTTGAGGGCATTATGAAATTGGGAAAACCATTAATATGCAGACCTCTA